ACACACACACACACACACACACACACACACACACACACACACACACACACACACACACACACTTCCTTTCCACTCGCTCTAAAAATCATTAGCCAGACGCCAACAACATTTTTCTGCAGAGCAAACTACATAAAGACGTCACTTTAAATCGCTTACTAATTAACACTTAAAAAGACACAAATTAGATATGCGTGGCTAAAAGCAATTATAATATCCGCAAGTTTTGCGAGTCATTTGGGAAATGAAAAGAATGCCTAATTGCTGGAACCAACATCAGCTCAGACATGGCTTAAGTGATGTCTGTTAGGGAATGGTCTTATCTACAACTGTGGCTGTGATTACAACAGTTTTCCTCAATTACATGTGCATATGGAGAATTCCAGAAAGTACATCTCTTTCATTATTCTATGTTTTTTTAAAATAAATAAATAGGTACATACATAAAAAAAGGCCAATAAGGATCAGTGCAGAAACAGTTTTTAGGTTTTCAGGTGCAAAAGATGAAACCGCTGCAGTCAGGCTTGGACAGTGACCTCTTCTGGACAACGGCAGGAGATAACAAAGCACAAGCTTTTTTTTCTGAATTTAGATATCAGCCTTTTGTTGCTTTATGTGAACAGATGAAGCCCCTGAGCACAAAGTACATACAACTGGAAGTATAAAGCAGAAAAAAATAAGAGAAGGTGACGCTTGTTTTCCATAAAATCACTGCCCATTGTTGTGCACATCTCACCGTGGTGTAATAATACGAGGCGAGAAGTAAAAATAACACAATGGTGAGGGATGTTTCCACTTGGAAACTAATTATCAAGCTAAGCTGTGACTTATCCTCATCAGCCTGGCCCCGCCATTAATCTTGTGCTGTCGTCCACTTCACTAAATCCTGTGTGTTACACTATCTCACATTTACTTCATCAGCTCCAGCGTGGCTGTAATTAATGATTTCTCATGCCCTTCCCTTCTCTTCCCCGGCTCAGCTCACCATGTGTCCTCCTGCTAATCACACTCTCTGAGAAGAAAAAGGAGGAGGAGGAGGAGGAGGAGGAGGAGGAGAGGTAGCGAGAGTGGAGAGGGGAGTAGGGAAAAATAAAAGACAAGAACATACAGGATGAGCAGTCAGCCTGTCTCCACTCTGGACACACACACATGCACACGTATGTGCCATTAATACCTGCACCGACAATGAGCTTCATTCAGGTGACCATGTGACAAGATGGCGACTCTGTGATTTGGATAGTATGTGACAGAAGACAGAGGCAGAGTGCAGAACAGACACCCGGTTTGATGAGGGAGTGTTTGCTCTGTAACACATCTCAAACCCAACAGCACCTGTTCTTTTACAGTGGTCTGTCACTTCCTGGCAGTTCTGATACCAAGATATCGTGCTAATGAGAGAGAAGGGGGGTTGTCACTCTCTTTAAAGCACGCACCCCCCCCCCCTCCACACACACACACAGACAAAGACACACTAAGTCTCTTTCGCTCTCTTGCTCGCACAAACACTAAAGTCGCGCACAGACATCTTTTTCCCTACACATGCCTCTAGGCTACAGTATTTCATCAGAAATGTGGGGATCTTTGTAGTGTTTTTCATTTGCTCTACAATACAATATCACTTAGTCTTAACTTTGAGGCTGAATGGAGGATTAAGGGAGGAAAAAAAAATTTAAACATGTAGAAACTGACCAGAAAGGCTCCTTTTAAGATTTAGAGCACTTGGGCAAAGATGCTAGATTGAGCTGTTAGAGGGAGGAATTGAGGAATAAAAGTCAATAATTTAGGAATGGGAGGCGAAGCTTTTAAGAGAGAATGGCTGCCTAGGCATGGCCATGCTTTTATTCAATTGGGGCTTAGTGGAGCCAACAGGGCCTCGCTGTCTCAGACACTTAATTACAACCCCAAGACCGTTTGCTTTGCATTCTGGGCCAGCGGCGTTGGCGGCAGTCGAGCGTTGCAGCCTCTACTCACTTCCTCCTCGATCTCTGCCAGGGATTTGATCGTAATGCCCATTAAATTGACTTGCTGCATCTGAAATCAAAAGCAGGGAGAGGAGGAGGGAGGAGGAAGAAGAAGAAGAAGAAAAAAAAACACATGAAACATGGCGGTTAGGCTCATGGCTAAGTAAGCATGCTTAAAATCTTTAATCCTTTCCCTCTCTGTGTCAATACAAACGGGGCTATAGTGACAACCACTGCCAGCCAGCCAAATGGACTGCATTGAGCCAGATCTGCCTGACTGCACGCATTCATCACTCAGTCTGGAAGAAAGGCAAGGGAAGAAACAAAAAAGAGAGGAAGGAAAGAAAAGAAGAAGAAAGAAGAGGTCTTCACCTGAAGAAAAAACTATCGGTATCATCTCTGTCTCGCCCTCAAAGAAAACTTTTACCTCTTGGGGCTTTTCATGAAACTTCTCGGAGACTATGAACGGCACGTCATCCAGAGCTGCAACACACAAGCAACACAAAATAGACCAAAAAAAGGTTAGAAATTTAAACAAAAAAACATTTCAATCTCTATTCTTGGTTGCGATTATTTTCACAAGACTAAACGTGGGATTATAAAAACAGCAAAGCTATCAACATCCCCTGCCACCCCAACGCCTCCCCTCCTTCTGTCTACTGGGAGAAGATGAAAGACTTTTTTATTCTCCACTGTATACGAGCACCTCCACTGTCTCCTCCAACCCAGCCCTTTCCCAGCCCTCTTCCAGTTTAATTACTCTTGATTATTCCCGATTCCGTCTTGTCTGAGAGATGTTCACCTCTGAAACAAAGACACACTCGCTATATAGGCACAAAAAAAGAGAAGGGAAAAAAAGGCGGAGAGACGAGAGACAAAACATTCGTGAGATATCAAATTTGCATGAAAATAAGCCGCACTGTTCAGCCAGGAAAAAGTGGATTGAAATGAGGACTTGCCAGGAGCGTAGTAGTATAATTAGCATTTGACCAAACAAACGAGCTTCAACAGAGCTATAATTAAGCAGGCCTGTAATTAAGTGTATGCCCTTTATCATAATGATCGTGGTTAAAACGGTGTGATGGGTGCCAGTTGATTATTAATGGTGTAACCCCGTCCTGCATGCATCCTGCACTGGAATCAAGGTGTCACGACTGTCAGGCTAGAGAGCAGCCCTTTGTTTATAAAATACATTAGGGCCCAAATTAACACAGGGTGACAAGAAGCACAAAGCCTCGCGTTCCCAAGCTGAAGGGAAAACTGCAGCTGCTCGGCTTCATTGTAAAAAAAACAACAACTCCCAATTCTGGAGTGACAAAACTTTGCCGGTGCCGGCTTTGACAAGAGCTCCAAATATCAAGGGGCCCAGTTTCAAACTGATTCTCTTTAGCCCACAGTCCATCAGACTGCTGGCACAGGGAAAGGAACTCATAAAAGCAAGCTGGAGCTTTTCATGAGTCATCGTTTGGGAGTTGGCAATCCTTCAGGCCTTTCTTGTTCGCCTTCATATTTAAAAGTTTGAAATGATAAAAAAATTTCCCTGACACTTCTGTGAGTTGCTTTACTTTCTGGGCTATTACGTGGATCTACAGTTTGGCATTTCTGATAGAAGTGTGATGTAATATAATCTGTATAATCAATACAGCTCACTCTTATTAGAGACCGAAGGTAAAGATTCTCTGCTTTGACTCCTTTCTCATATGATTTTTAAAACTGTACTGTGCGCTTTGTTGTTTGTAATTAGAAAACAGGCAAACTTCTTTGTATTTTCACCTCATAAATGAAAAACGGCATATATCCCATATAAAAGATAAAACAAAAAAAATGATTAAATATTTTGCTCAAACCTTCAAAATGCAACATCATTAAAACAGGGCAGCTTTGCGTTGCTTCCTTCCTCTCAGAGAACAGTCTTTTTTAAGCAAAACATATGTTACTGCAAATAATAGTTGTGGTTACAAGTTGCTGCACTGCATTTGGTACATACTTTAAAAGTTTTTGCATAGTTCTTTATGAAAAGAAGAAGAAAAGTGACTAAAGGTCACCTGCAGAGAGGATTAATTGATGGATGGTGAAAGTCACGTTACACTGCCTTACATGTCTGTTCATGATCATCATAAATTAGCTTAAACATTGGTAATAACGATTTCACTAAGATAAAATATTTAAATATCTCAAATACTGATTACTGCTTTTTAAAAGATTAATACAAATATACATTACAAATGTGCTTTTTTACAATGTCAAGACTTGACAGAAAACCAAAGCAACAAAATATGGCAGCTTTGTATGAAAAGGAAGTGATCAGGGTCTGATGTGTATTGCTTATTATGATAACCCTAATCTGATGTTTAATGTTCCTGAGTGTTTTTAGTTGTTTTTCATCTAATTACTGAATGAGCATTCTTCAGTATATGAATGCTTTATATGAATGTGAAATTGTTGATCATCATCAACAAAACTATAACTTAATCTTATACTTTTATTTTGTTATTTTAGCAAACATCAGATTTTCACAAACGCCAGGTTTTACAGGCAGCAAAATTTGAGTGGCTGTGTTTTTACCTCCAAAAAAGGTAAGAAGGCACTGAATCACTAAAACCTAAACGATTTATTTTATTTAAAAAGCTGAGCTCTTTGAGGGACTTTCCAAAATATTTCATTTGGAACTTGGTTGAATAAAGTATGGGTGTTTTTTTTCTCTTTTTTTGCTTATAATATTCGCTGAGTTTTTGTACGTGTTTTGAACCCCTCTCAATTTTATTCCTGTATCAAGCTATACTGTAGATCCATTTTTGAAGCCTATGTTGGAGTTTACTTTATGACAGAAAACATCCCATGTGGGTACAAAGTGGGTTTTGGTAGGTACAATGTGGGTCCAAAATAATGTGCATGGGATAGAGTACATTTATGCAAGCTGTGCACAGAAAATAGGCCGTGATTGTGAAATAAGGTCGTGCAAATTCTGCCACACGTCTCACTAATCACTTAGCTGCCAACACTAGAGTTTTCAAGAAAAGATTCACTAATTTTGTTTTCATTTTTCATGCCCTTTTGAGTCTCTAACTAGTCTCTAACAGTTTCATTCTAGTGACTTGGCTTAAAATAATTCAGTCTGCATCAAAGCGGGGCACCAATCAACTTGGTCCTCTACCTCTATCTCTATCTAATTTTTAAAGTCATCTATTTCACCAAAGCAACCTTTAATGCGTGATTTTTATCTGTAGTGAGGAGCAAGCCAGGGTAACTGGTATAACAGCTTGTTTAAGCTCATACCTACAAGTGCACAAACATGCAGTGCTCTGTTGCTGGCAGCACCAACACTGGGCAGAGGTAGGCAGGGAGAACACATTTAAATCAATAACCAGGAATGGGAAGCAGAGATTGTGGCTGCTGATGGATCTGCACGGCATGGACAGATGAATGCAGAGAGCTGAAGGCCAGAGAGTTTCTTTATTGCTCAAGGATTACATTTAAAACCAGATCTCACTTTGTATTCCTCAACCATCTATACTAGAGAGCCTATCTTACATCCAGACAAATGGAGAGGCACGGGAGATGACTTGGTGGTAAGGAATGGCTGCTGTACTATAAAGTAATCTGAAAGTGCAAAGGGCAAAAATAATGTAAATCCAATCTTCTGAGCAGGAATCCCAGTATGAAACATGTCGAAGCGGCTCAAATGGCCGGGCTACACTCCATTAACTCGTGTGTATTCCAGCGCGGGAGGGGGGGTGGGGGGTGGGGGGGCTGTGCAGTTATTTGGGGAATGCGAATGCAGTTGATGCAAAAACATCTGGCAGGACTTTTGGTACAGTCGCTGCGATGATGATGGTGATGATGATGGCTGTGAGCGCAGAGGTGGTGTTAAGTAAGGAGGACCCCGTGGCTTGAGTGATTGTAGTGTAAAGAACGAAGTCAGCACGGGCCCCGTGTGGATCATTGCCTTATTAATGGCTCCGTCAGATGCAATGAGCAATGGCTGCATTGTCATCTCCAGCCCCTGGGCACAGATGAATGGCTGTTTCAGGGCGGGAAGGGCTCTCTCGTACGCTGGGCTGAGCACTAATCCCTCACTCTTCCATTGTTGGATGCACTGTCACCCAGGACTTCAGCAACACTGCGCGCTGCATTTCCACGGCTCCAACAGACACGACTCCAGACGACGCAGGACCCACACTCGCTCACACACACAAACACATAAAGCACGCCGAGTTGTGCACCGACGCTGACTGATGGAAAAATATGCGTGGGTGATCGAGCATACCCCGTATTACCTGAACCACAACTCAAGAGTAGCACTTTAGGAATGTTGATGAACTTTTATTTTACACTTCACTAATCCTGCAGAATTGCATTGATCTCTGTCTGGTATGATTACTTGGGTGAATCTGTTTCGCTCCTGAATTAAGTGAGAAAGTCAAAGTGAGGGCAATAATGTGCAAGTGCAAATGAACACCTTTATTATGTGGCGTAAAATAACACACACACACTAAAAAAAAAAACCCAAATAAGCTGAAGCTTTATCTGGAAAGCTGCTGTGTTTGACACATCCCAAGGCTAGACATGGCAATACCTTCCGTGTCGATGTGACTCTCAATTTGAGCCGGATTCCTTATGCAGACCACAGAAATGCTATTCTAGTTGCAGACCCCCCCCCCCTCTCTCTCTCTGTCACCAGTGCAGATAATGGTGAGAAGATGAACAGAGAGCTGGAGGAGGACCCCTATGCCCACTCACAGCCCTTAGTCCCACTCTGACATGAGAAATAGTGCCCAGGCCTGACAGCATCTCGGAGACATATTGTAGTTTATTTTGTCGCCCGGGCATGCCATCTGTGCCATTCCAATGGAGGGTGTGTGTTCAGGCTGCTGCAAGAGAGAGGGCGCGAGGCTCTGGGTCCCTCAGTAGCTCTGCAGCCGCGGCAGGTCATTAGTCAAATTGCCTAATGAGAGAGAATACAAATGGCCCCCTACCCTGACAGGAGGAATTTTGGAGGTGTCAGAGCTCCTGACCCGTGCTATGAGAACAGATGATAGTGAGTTGCTATTTTCAGATTCTTTTAATGACTATGACTCTGTGAAACCCATTCTTTTTCTTTTATCTTTTTCCTACTTTTTGAAATTCTCCAGACAGACGAGTATAAAAAAACCCTTTTCAATACATTAAAAATCTCTCTCGCAAAAGCGGAAGTGTAACTTTTAAATTATTTAAATGTTTACTTGGAAGTTAATCAACATTCTGAAAAAGCATATAACATTGATACTAAAACAGACTAAGCGGCGAAGTGATGGTGAGGGTTTCTGATCAGCTATTTTTATTTGTCTCTTCTGGCTGTGTGCTGCTTATTTCCTCAGTCTCCCTGAAGTTTGTGCAATGTTCTGGTGCAATTCTCCTGACAGCGAGTCGGTTCACTGATGCTAAAATATTAATTTCATTTCATCTAAATGTTCGAAAATGTAAACAAGTTTAAAAGTGCCGTG